TTCCAACAGTCCCTATGTACCATGTTCTTCTCATCTGCAAGTCCTGTGTGTAGGGAAGTACACTGCAGGAAATTACACACTGTTATGACTTACTCTCTGAACTAACAAGCTGGAACTTTCCAAATATTAGCTAACTTAATCCTAGCATCCTCCCTTTGAGGCCATCAGGATTATCAGCTTTCAGATGTGGATGTTCAAGGTCACATAGCTCAGGAGTGTGAGAGCTGCTTCCCAAAACTCAGGTCTGTCAGACACTGGAGGCTACCTGATCTCTTCTTGTTGCAGATACTGCCTGGGTACCAGAAGGCCTCACTTCCTTGCCCCAGAGCAGTCAAAAGTACACAGAACATCTGAAACAGGAAGCCAAGATAGGCAAATATGCCCAACATCACATCCATGTCTGAGTTTATGCTGTGTCAATGGAGGCTTTTGTTATTACTCTACTGACCTCTTACCACTCTCTTACCTTCCCCTGAATCCACACTACTCCTTTTAGATCAGGAAGTGCTTCCCTGGGCTTTTGCAGGCAATAAGTTGACTCTTAGGCAGTTTGACTCTACAGACCCATGCATAAACCTGGCTACCAGGAACATCTAGGCTTTATGAAGTGATGTCCTGGACATCCTGAAATTTCATGCTACTTCTAAGAAAAACTTTGAGGACAGAGTATCACTGGGGAGGAGCCTGGGAACTCACCAGCTGCCTAGTTCAAAATGTTGTCCTGGAGGGGTATTATTCTTTCTTTCTCTAAACACCAAATACTTCCAACCAAGCTTTCTTCCTGCACCCTGCACAGTTGGTTCTGGGGAGGAATGAGGACATGCATACCAGATTCCTGTGACTCAGGCCACCATATAGATACCTCAGACATCTGGAAAGATTCTGGTAGACAGGCTTCTATAGCATGCTTTCATGGTTTTCTTTGTTTTAAGCACAGACTGCCAACCTGACCCTCTCTAGCCTTTGAACTTAGGCAATGAATGCTAAATGCATTGAAAGGTATAGACAGTTTTTAAGTTGAGTTTGTCTGTGTGTCTGTGTGTCTACCCGCGGGTGTGTGGGTGCACATGTGCATGCATGAGTGTGTGTGTGCAGGAACCTGCAGAGGCCATAAGAGGATGTCAGGTTCCCTGGAGCTAGAGTTAAGTTACAGGAGGTTGTATGTCACTCACTGTGGATAATGGGAATCCAACTATGTACTTCTGCATGAACAACAAGTGCTGTGATCAGCTGGCCCATCTGTCTAGCCCTGACAAGAGATTTTTTTTAAGTATATCTAGTACAGGAACCACTAATGTCTGGTAGAACACAGAGGGCATATTACAGAACAGAAGATAAAGCTAAAGGAATAAGGGAGACCAGAATCTAGTGGAACTTTGTTTCGGTGATGATCTCAATCACTGAGCCAAGTGACTAGAACCCTCAGCAGCTGTGAGCCTTACATGGAGAAATATGGAGACCTTTTGGTTCAGAGTGAGTGAGATGATGAAGCCTGCTTAGCATCTATTTGCACATGGGAGTGAGAGCTAAAAGGATCTTGGCTTTATTAATTATATGTAACAGGTGAGAGAAAAGTAATTATTGAAGACACTTGCAAAATTTCTGGCCAGGAGCATAATTATCCCATTTACCTTGAAAGAAATTCTGGAAGGATAATTGGGCCTTGGTAGAAGGAAGAAAAAGTAAAGAGTTCATTTTTAGATATTGTGAGACTTGGGGCATCTGGTAGACATGAGCAGGTGGAAATAGAGATGTCCTATAGCAATTGGATATATGACTATGACACTCAGGAGAAAAGTGTGAACTGACAACGAAGATTTGGAAGTCATCAGTATGGGGGCCTTAGGAACCCTCCTGCAAATCAGATAATCACAGCTCATCTATATTTTGGAAATCCAGACTTTTCCAGATAAGTTTTGTTTCAATCAAAAACTGTAATTTATGTATTTCTTTAACCCCAAGGCTGGGTACTGCTTTACTGTTCTTTACTCTGAACCTCTTCCAAATGCTGACAATATAAGAGGTAGTCCTCTCCTGAGGACCCAGCTTCCCTAACACTTCCCAAACCTGAGGATCTGGCCTGATGATCTAGGAATGTTCCAGTTTGCACACCAGCTAGCTGAACTCACACATATCTTTGACATATACCTTCATGCCAGGATTATAACAGTTGCTCACAATTTACCCAAGTCTCCTCTAAGCTGATTAATATTTCTGAGCAGCTCTAAGCCAACAGACTAACCCCATAACCCAGCACCTGTAACTTCTGTCTAACTGACCCTCCATGTTGGAAGAAACTGCTGTCATGACTGAACAACAGGGGAGCTACACTGTGAAATCTTCCAGAGGCAGAGTGTGCATATGCTACCTGCAAGACAAGAATATTTTTAGGCTTTTCAGAAAGATTTCATTTCACAGCTTTTGGTGTTTTTTTTTTTTTTCCTGAAAGGTTGTAATTAGCTGCAGTAAGCAAAAGAATGTATTTTTAAAAAATGGGAGTAAAGGAACCAAGAAAAGGAACCAATGGGTTCTCTCCAACCCATTGAATAGGTGAATTTCTGCCATGCAGGTGCTGGAGTTGGGGTAGAGGTGGGTAGAACACCAGGAAACCCAGTCCAAATTCGTCAAGCAGAACCAGGAGCTAAAAGCATGTTCTCACCTATTGATGCTCTTCTGCAAAGGGAAAAACAGCTCCTTCCCCCACCTCTCATGACAAGGGTCTGTCTCCCAAGGCAGGATCCCTGGCCTCTGGAAAGCTGTGCCAGGGCCAAGCAGAGTAACCAGAACACACTCTTCTTGGACATTTTCATTTCCAAGGATGGAAGAGCCACAGAGGCTTCCTACTCCTGTGAGCTTTTTCTCTTTAATGCTGTCCTTCCTTCTTTCATCTCTGCCAACACATGGATATGCCTGAGTTTCCTTGGTGATTTCTCCCTAGATCTATTTCATATGTTTAGTTTTATTTTAAGGTGGATTATTTTATTTCAAGAAAAGGGAATCAGAGTCATGGACAAGGTGATCTGAGTGAAATTAGTCCCCAGAATAGTGTTCTCAGGCAGGAAGCAGCACCATTGAAGACCCATAGCAATGGAGGGGGAGTTAGCAGACTCAATCAATCCTAGCTTGTCAACTACAAAATTAAGACAAAGTCTGATCAGCATACCACCAGTAATGAGGTATAGAGAGCTATCCTCACCCACACTCCACATCTTCCTTGTTGGCTAAGTCATGGGAGTCCATGCAAGACTCGGCATCTCCATTGCCAAAGGAAGAGTGCCCTTTCCACCTAGACTCACCCATACTGACTGCTGCTCCAGTCCTAACAGGAGTCAGAGGTACTGGATGGTTTTATGTCAACTTAATATAAGCTAAAGTCACCTGAAAAGAGGCAGCCCAATTGAGAAAATACTCTCATAAAACCAGGTTGTAGGCAAGCCTATAAAGCATTTTCTTAGCTAGTGATTGATGGAGGAGGCCCAGCACATTATGACTAGTGGTTCTGGGTTCTATGAAAAAGCAAGCTAAGCAAACCATGAGGAACAAGCCAGTAAGCAGCACCCCTCTGTAGCATCTGCATCCACTTCTGTCTCCAGATTGCTGCCCTGTTTGAGTTCCTGCCCTCACTGCTTGATGATGTGGAATTGTGATCAAAATAAACCCTTTCCTCCCCAGCTTGATTTCGGTCATGGTGTTTCATCACAGCAATAAAAATCCCAAATAAGACAACCAACATGTACAGTCTTAAGGAGGACAAGAACACAAAGTCTCAGAGGTACCATCCTCGGACTGTAGTGGACTCTTGGTCTTAATCAAGTCTTGCCTTTTTTATAATGTAGTGGAAACAGCCACCTTTTATTACTGTGTACAAGTTGCCTGAGATTTAGGATCCATCTCTTAACAACTCTAGCTCTCATTTTTCTATTAAAATGCAATCTTAGAATAAAATACCCTGAGACACTTCCACCTCTACCCCTATGTTGGCAATTATGAATTCCTCTGTTCCTTGGAACTGAGTTCACTCGGGATCAAGATTAGCCAATTACTTCCCACTTCATGTAACTGCAGATTTCAAAGCATGAATGGTGGAATTTACAGGATTCCAGAGTAGTTTATACTTTGATATTGTGATTCTATCACTCCTTTCTTTTCGGATTAAAGCAAAAGGACATAAATCACCATTAAGGCAACTGAAATTAATGAATAAATAAGTGAATAAATAAATAAATAATGATCCTTGCTAATAGGAAGCCAGCAAAGGTTTGTAAAATCTAAAGTAACGTCTTGGCTCTAACATGTGTTGTGAGAAACAATAGTAAGCATGAATCTGTGATATTCTACTCAGCCGCATCCAACCATCACCTGCTCCAAGTGCCCACTGCTTTCCCTGCATCTGTTTGACCCCAAACTAGAATTATTTATGAGTCTTTGTTATCACTTCCTTCTTGACTATAAGTTCCTTGAGGGCAAATCTGCACTGTATTCACCATTGTATCCTACAGGGTCCAGCATAGAAGTAGCAGTAACAACACTGCTGTAATTGCAAAACCTCCTAGTGCACATAGAGATTCAAGGACTAACTCTGGGTTTTCCATGTTCACTAAAACTTAGTAAACCTGATAATTAATGTTCTCTTCACAGAAAAAGAGCTGGAGTCCACTTGATCACAGTCAGTCGGCTAGTGAATTAGAGATGCACATAAATCCGTGATGGTCTTATGAGAGTGAGAGTTCAGAACTCTTTCTCATAAGTTTTTGGTTTTTTGTTTTTTTTTAATGGATCGGTGAATAGGTGCATGGATGGGTGAATGATGCAAGGAAGTAGTGGAAGTAGTGTAAAATAGAAGATACCAATGTTCTGTAAAAGCTAAAAAGAATATAAGACACTCATATTCTAGGAGTCTTATTATAGTTCCTAAGCACCTTACTCTTGGGGAGGGAAAGGAATCTTGTTTTATTCTTGTGGATGACTCTGTCAGTGCTAATCCCACCTCCCTCCTACAGATTTTGACAGTATCAGGACCACCTGAAGGAGGGACTCGTGTGACCATCCATGGAGTGAACCTGGGCTTGGACTTCTCTGAGATCGCTCACCATGTGCAGGTGGCTGGAGTGCCCTGCACACCCCTTCCAGGGGAATACATCATCGCTGAGCAGTGAGTCCACCCCACTGGCCTTTGTCTGTGTGAGCTTCAGAGCAGAGAGTTTCTGTACTTCCTTCTGTGGGGCTTTCCCAAGCATCCTTCACATGATGTCCTTCTGTGGAAAATGCCCCAAAAGGTCTTTCCAGGGTCGTTCTGCCCTCAGAGGGCCTTGTTATAGTTCCTTCCCTATCCTAGTCCCCTTAAGCATCAGGGTGCCGGGTGCCCACAATGCCCCTCTTTTAGTCTTTGCCTGCATGCTGGCATGAATGTTGAAAGACACTCTGGGACCTATTGGCCCCTCCTACTGGCCCCCATTGTAATGCATACTATGGGGTAGACTGTGGGCAACAATTTGTTTCCAGCATGGGGCTCTGACAGCAGCTTAATCTAAACAGGGCTTCCACTGGAGCAGATTCATTTATTTCACTGAGGAAAATGTCAGCTGGAAATTAGAAAATAGGCATGTAGTGACGGGCAGACAGATGAACGCAGGAGTGACACATGTTCCTATGTAGGGTGTTCCCTAGAGAATGGAAACCACAGTCTGTGAGTTGGTGGGCAGGAAGTAGGTCACAAGCTTGGGAATGAAAGAGGAAGAGGAATGGGAAGGAAGTCACCAGATCATTCTTCTTGGTTTGTTATGTGCCATTGGGTCAAGATCTCCCTCATCCACTGGGTATGCAGCTCTGTGTGTGTTGGAAGCTGATGAGAGCTTGACTTCAACTCGGACATTCCTCTCTTACTCTGTTCCTTTGTAGCCACAGGCTTCCCTAAACAGCCAGTCCTCAATGGCAGCCATAAAAATGGCATCACTTTATTTTCCATCAGCAATTTTTAGTTTACAGAACACGTTCCCATTCACTATCTTTTTAAAAAAGTATTCTAACCCCTGGCAAGTAAATTATTGTAAAAGCTAGCAAGAGCAAAAGTTGGGAAAACATGAAATGATTTTTCTCCAGTCACTTGGGAATACAACCCTAAATCTCCTAACTCCTAGTTCAGGCCTGTTTCCCTGACACAGCAGCCATGGGCCACGATTCCTCCTGAGAAATAGAGGCCTGGCTGCTTCATGACTCATCCACAACCTATGGCCCTGAACCTCAAAGGGCCTTGCTTCTAGCATAGGTCAGAGAAGGAAGGGTCAGTGGCAGGAGGGGTAAATTCCCAGACCCTTGGGGCTGTGTCAGAGCCACTGGCCACAGGTAAGGAGGCAATAAATCTGGTCTGATCCCTCCATTCTCCAGGTTCTGTTCTTCTCTGACAACCCTACCTCATAGGAATGAGCTTTGAGGGAGTTGTGGCTAGGCCCACAGAAAGGGAATCAGGAATGGCATAAGTGTTTCTGTGGAACCACATCAGAAGGTAAACACTTTGGGATCCAGGACCACCTGCAGGAAGCCCCATGGTCACATGATCTAGAATTCAGTGTCCTGCCAAGCTACACCAGTCACTTGGATACACAGACCCCAATCCACCTAAATCTCTAGATCCTGCCATGGTCCCATGTGGGGTCCTTGTGGGAAGACTCAGACTTTAGGGTGAGGAGTGTGAACTGTGAGACAGCTAGACCCAAAAGTTTCCCAAGGCCTGAATTAAACTGTTTTAACACTTGAGACTTCAGAAAGACCTTCATCTAATGGACTGCAAGAAATTTTAGTTCTGTTTATGAAGTCAAGTATACTTCTTTACCCAGGGCTATGGGGAAGAAAATAGCCAGATGAACTGAAAGTGTGGTTGTGAAAAGACATTGGGAAGGCAGTCATTCCAGGCATGTTGGGGTCAATGGTGGCCCTTGGAAGCTGCCCCTTTCCTTCCTTCAGGCACAGGATAGGCATGAAGCAATAAACTACACCCAACCACCCCAAGCCTCACTGGTTTGAGCTGGGTTTCCAACTGTGCCAGGCTCATTACCACTCCTAAGGTGTCAGATATCCTTAACATTATTAAGCCTCCATCCTGGACAGTGAGCAGCAGGTGCAGTCATTATAGATGTCTGCAAGAGATGAATTTGGCTAACTGTGCTCAATATAGAATCCTGGGCACAAGCAGGATTAGAGAGTGTGGTAATAAGTCACCATATGCTTGTGTCCAGCATCTATCATTCCACAATTAGCTAGCTTAATATTGGTTTAAAGGCCCTGATTAGTTCTGTAGTCAACACCCCACATGTCTGTGGAGGGCAAGATGATTTAGCCATAGGACATTCTCTGGGCAGTGGGATGCAGGCCCAAATTTCAATTCTCCATCTCCAGAGGGGATGCTTGCTCTCATCTGACCTCTGTCTCATCTGCTCTAAATATGAACTCAAACACAGCTGGATGGGTGCTGGATCTCTGTGCTTCCCATTTGGGAAGTGAATCACCAATTATGCATGTCTATGGGAGATGGTGTGGTATAGGGATAATAAGAAAACTGAGCTGGTGCCAGGAGCCTGGGAAAGGGGGGCAAGCTATAGTTCAGCTCCTGATAAACCAAATAGCACTGGGCAAGTCACTTTGTTCCCTGATCCTCAAATAGTCCATCTGTAAACTAGGAATAGCTGATATGTAAAAATCTCCCCAAATGGTCCTCAGGAGTCTAGAGCAATCGAACCCATAAAATCTGCAACCTCCCCCAACAACTAGAAAGCTTACTGGTAACATTAATATGATCCCAGAAGTCCTCTGTGAATTGATAGACAAATCATCAAATGGAAACTGGACAGTTATTTTGCCGAATTCATTTTATAAGAGTAAAATTTTATCATTGCTAATCATTGCCTCTTAAAAATATATAAGGAGCCTGGGAGCCACCAGGAACAAAGAGTACATGTAAATTGTGTAGCCTCCCAGAAATTAAACTGAAAAATACAAATAAGGCTGGGGGAGAGAGTGATATATAGTGATATATAGCCTGTGGTGGTCCACAGCCAAGAAGAAGAGCCATCGACTAATTCCAAGAGCCTAAGGAAATGAATGGGGTTGTCTCCGAATTCTCCCAAAATCTTCTGTCACTACCATAATGTCTGTGCTGCTCTCCCTTAAAGTATCCAGAGTATTCTATTAAATCCAACATCTGAGACAAGTGTGATGACACATGCTTATAGTTCCAGAGGCTGACGCAGGAGTGCTGCTTAAACCTAGAAATCTAAGCCCAGCCTGGACAATGTAGTGAGACTTTATCATAGACAGACAGATAGATAGATAGATAGATAGATAGATAGATAGATAGATAGATAGATAGATAGATAGATAGATAATGTCCACAAAATGGAGTGATCAAAGTTACAAACTTGAGATTGAGATTACAATTGGGGCTCCTCCACTTGCTGGAATGTGACCCTAAAACAGCCATGTAGCATCTCTGAGTCTCGGTTGTCTATCAGTCTGAAACAACAAGACCCTTCCTAGAGCAGGGGATTAATGTGGCATGGCATCCCATCTTGTGGGCTGCCTGTGCTGTCGGCAGCTATAACTCTTGTCATTAAGTTATATATTCTAGTGTGGCACAGTCCTTATTCTTCTATATAGCCCTTTCACTTCTGCAGCATCCTTACTTCTTCTGTAGCTCATCTTTCCTAAGCTAGGACATGTGTTCTATGAACACTCAAGTCCTCTCCATCCTGCCCTATGGGATTCACAAATGAAAGAGGAAAAGAGGGAGACAGTTCCATTCCACCCACAATGCTGCTTGATTTCCTAAAAACTCCAGTCTAAATTCTCAGACATGGCCATACAGGCCCTTGTTCAAAGCCTGCTGCTGACCCCAGCCTTATCCCTATCACTCACCATGTAAGACAGCTCAGCTGCTAAAGGAGGACACCATGCCATTCAAGAATGGCATTCAGACACTTGGGTTGGCCCTCTCTTCTTCTATCTCTCTTCTCCCAGGTTTTGCATATATAAAGCTTAGCTTTTTCAATATGAACCCCAAGCAAGAAAATGTTCAAAACCTAGAAAGGCATACTCCTAAGCCCAACCTATTCCCAAGCCCTCCATGGACAGTTGAACAGGTCAGACTCAACCTTCTCCTTTCTGAAGCAGGCCCAAGAACAAGAGTTTAGTCTTGCCTGTAAACTTCATGTGTCCTCCAGTTGCCTTTTTTTTTTTTTTACAACTTCAAACCATAATAATTTCTTCCTTCCCTTCCTGTGATAGATCTTCCCCACAGAATGTACACTGGCCATGAATGAGAAAAGAACCAGCCCTTAATTAGAAGAAATGGAAAAGCTCATCTGCTTCCCAGTCCCACATTCACTCACTACCCTCAAGAATTAGCTGACTCTTCAAAGTTCTACAACTGTGAGCTGTAGAAAGTCAGGGACCCCAAAGCAGAAGCAAGGTCCAGCACCAAAAAACAGTATTTGAGTCATTACTCCAAGCAAGTAGCAGCAGGAAAATAACAAACACAGCACCTTAGATTAAGTTTCTCAGATGATTTCTAGTGAGGTTTAAGGGAAGAACAATATGCCAAACACTAATTGATTGTTACTGCCATGCTTATGTGGGTTCATAATGAATTTATTTATTCATAAAGTAAAGAGAGAGCATTCTTCCATGAAGTGCTTTCTTGTTGTATCTTATAAGCTACATGTAATAAGATAGTTATTTTATGTTAAGTAAATATTTACCAGGAGTCAAAGTACTTATTGAGAATTAACTGCTATGAAAGAGATGAAGCCCAGTGGCATGGTGTGTGTGTGTGTGTGTGTGTGTGTGTGTGTGTGTGTGTGTGTGTGTGTGTGTGATATGTGAGTGTGGGCATGTGGTGTGTGTGTGTGTGGTGTGTATGTGTGGTGTGTGTGTATCTTTTTTATGTGTTTTGTTACAATGAAATGAAATCTTTGTTTAGTTACTCTGTTACTTAGAGAAACTATTCAGATAAGCATTGCTCTGTTAACACACAGGTCTTCCCACTGTGCCAGAATAATATAGGAGATTAGTGGGGAGGGAGTTTGTTTTCCTGACTCCCCACTAAGCAAGCTTAGCATGGGCACTGCTCTTGCAATCTGAAATGGTGTCAGGAGACAGGACTTTCTTCCTCCTTTCCTGGCCCCCTATTTGCTGAGACTGGTAGGACCCTCTCCAACCAACCCCAGGCCCTGTATTCCAGGGCAAGGACCCCTCAAAGTCTAATTTCCTCAATCCTTCCTGTCCACTACAGCCCACCCTTTTTGTAAGGCATTACGACTTAAGGGACCAGTGTTTAAACATTCATCTGTATCTCAGGAGCCAGGGAAATCACGGGGCGGGGTGTATTGATCTGGCCTGCAGACAAAGACCAGTGTGAAATGTGACTTCTAACCGAGGCCATATCACCCACTGAGTATGCTTAGCTGTGATTAAGTGTCACTTGGCACCTAATGAACTCAGCCACCACCACATTTTCACCCACTTCCATGGGCCTGCACTTCTGCCATTGTGCTGGAAGATGCTATTTGGATGCTCACATTATCTCACCAGATTATCTAGCCCCTTTGAAAGCTCATTGTAGGAAAGAGACTACAGCTGAATCAGCCAATGTGACAAATAATCACTCACCTGTGCTCTTAGGGAGAGCTGCTATGTTGGCTTGCTGCTTAGCAGAAAACACTAACTAAGTACTGCCCTCAATCACTGTTGGACAGCTAATTATTCCACCAATCCCAGAAACAACCTATGGTGAAAAACTGCACTAGGTGCTCACAGGAATGGTAGCAGAGTTAGGCTACATTGTATATCAGAGTCACCCACAGCATTTTATATATAATAACTTCTAACCTCTCACTGTGCAAATAAGACAAAGCCCAGGTAGACAGCACTATACCCATGGTCAGATGGGTACTAAACTATAGCTATAGCAGTACTATAGCAAGACAATGATCACTGCTTTGACAAGGGTCTCTCATTGACTGCAAATGACAGGGATTGCAGCCTTGTCAAGTCTCTCACTGGAAGGTTTTTTTCTTCTCAGGATTGTCTGTGAGATGGGCCATGCCCCTATGGGCACTACATCTGGGCCTGTACGCCTGTGCATTGGAGAATGCAATGAAGAGTTCATGACAAATTCCCACCAACAATATACTTTTGTGGTAAGTACTGGGACCAAAGCTGGCCACATAGCCAGCAAGAATACACATTTATTCCAGACTTCTAGGAAAATCTCATATACCCCTTCTAGCCAGGCAGATCATGGTGACCAGTAAAAGGAATTTCTGGCCTCCCTGCTCAGAAGCCTGTGTTTCTGGGGTTAAATAATCACATGACTTAAAACACATGAAAAACCAGAGACTTTGGAGTCCTGGCAGAAACTTAAGCTTTTCTTAATGGACTACTGATGGAAGACTGGGCTCCATTTTGTCCCTCCACTGTGACATTGTGGTTTAATTCCAGCCTAATGAGGACACACTAATTAAGTAATTTATATTTATCCATCTGCTTTGGTTATTGATGAGATATTTTAAGGGAATAGTTAGAAGAGTCACTGTAATCTGGCAGAGATGTACCACTATGCAGAAGACCAGGATAGGGAACATATAAGCTGACAGTTCTATGTGTCAGTATGGTTACATACACATGTATGCACACCCCTAAAGACATTTCTTCATGCTCAGACAACAGGCAGTTTTGGAACCAAGGCCTTCTGTGAGGCTGGCACTAAATTCATGCCAAGTCAGTAAATTGCTTCTGAGGCCCTGGAGTCTATCTAGGCTCAATTCATCCTGAATCAATATGTTGCATTGGGGCCTTTATGTTCTTTTTCTAAAACTTACCTATCTCTCTACATTGAGTACTTAATTAAAAATTGTTAACAACAATGGATGGGGTCAAACCAGCCTGGCTAAGAGTTCTGAAAAATCATTAAGCCATGAAACTCTTTTTCTCTCAAAAGTGTTTTACTACTTTGTCCACAACTCCCAAGCCTATGTTCTCATTTTGGCATTGCTTCCTCTTTCCTGGTACTTTTCTCTCTGAGATTGGCCTATACCTCATTTCCTTTCCAGGGGACATGGGAAGCAAATCGAAAATGTAAGATAGAAAGTTGTAAATATTAGAGCTGGGAAAGGCCCTGGACCCATCATATCCTCAATGGACAAGGAGCAAACTGAAATTCATAATAGACAGTGAGGAGCTGGTACAGATTAGAACCCATTCACTAAGTTAAATGCACTTCCCAAGCTATGTGGGGAGTCACATGCCTTGGATCCCAGCACTCAGGAGGTGAAAACAGGAGGGTCTCACTCAAACTCAAGGCCAGCCTGAGCTGTTGTGAGACTATCTAATAAGGCAACAAAAACAAAAACAAACGAAAAACACTTTCCATACTACTGTCCACTGGGCAGAAGCAATTCTTTCTGATTTAGGTCAACTTCTTGGTGTGTCACAAACTAGAGATTTCTTTTAAGCCTTAGCTTAATGTACAACTTAGTAAGTATGCTGGCATGTGATATTCTCATCTACCAGTAAGGATCAGAATGCCATATTTAACATTTGCTGATGGCACTCAGTGCCTAGGGCAAGACAAGAGGATGTATATATGGACATTCATAGAGGCTACTGTCTATCAGCTGCTCAACTTAAGCAAGAATGTTTACTCAGCCCTATTGATTTTGTGCCAAAAAAAAAAAATTAGGACATGCTCTATATTAAGTAGCATTTTCAAATTGTTTTCAATTTTTAAACTAATTGATAGATTAGTCAGTGTCATGTCAGCTTCCCTTTCAGTATTATGAGTACAAGACTCCCCAGGGAGTTAATTAATCCCAATGTATGGCAGCTCTTCACCTTCCCTGGACAGACCCTCCAGACAAAACAGTGATGTTTGGAACTACATAGGGCAGGAAAAATACCTTAGCTCCCAGCTTCTCACTGTTAGGTCTAGCCATGGACCTAAGCTATGAATGTTTCCTCTTCTCACAGAACCCTTCTGTGCTGTCACTCAGCCCCATCCGGGGACCAGAGTCAGGAGGTACCATGGTGACCATCACAGGCCATTACCTTGGTTCTGGGAGCAGTGTGGCAGTATACCTAGGCAATCAGACCTGCGAGTTCTATGGGTAAGGTAAACTTGAAGAATGATGTGTTGTTGTTGCCTTGACATGCCCATTATCTCCTTGTCCTTTTCTCAGCCCAAACATACTTGTCATTGTTAGACATGTATGCCACTTATCAGTTTATGTCCCATAGATCAGATTAGTTGGTGGCACCTAAAGGGAATTGGCGAAGGGCTATCAGAACAGAAGAGGAAAGATTCCAGTAGCTTCCCAGCTGTGTTTCACTGTAGGGACTTGAGGCTCATGGAGGTCACATGTTCTTAGCAAGTTAAGAACAAATTTGTCCTCAGAATGATCTCCTGAGCTAATGCTAATATTGTTAGCCATACCCATGGACCCTGAGGATGCAGACTCAGGAGAATTATGAAGGAACCCATGGGTGGGGTTCCAGTTTGCCCAGTGTTTCCCACCTGAGAGTTTTTCACTGTAAACTTTGCAAGAGCAAGCCCTATGTTTTTATTACAACAGAGGGCATGTATTATGTGAATGTGTATTGACAATCTGACTAGAGTCAGAGTCTAGAAAAACCAAGAAAAAGGAGTTCTCCAAAATCCTGTAGAACCTTGTCCCTGCCCATGTTCTTTAAGTATCTTGTACTCCCTTCCTAATCCATCTAAGGTAAAAGGAAGGTGCTGATGGGCACTGGTGAAAGGTATTTTTGTAGCACAGAAAATAAGAAAACAGCAGAATGTGTTATAGACCATACATGGGATAAAGAACATGATTTTCAAGATAGTTCATGCCCATCTCTTTTGTCTTAACCCTTTTCTGTTTCTCTATCAGGAGGTCAATGAATGAAATTGTATGTGTTTCACCCCCATCATCCAATGGACTGGGACCAGTCCCTGTCTCTGTGAGTGTGGATAGAGCCCGGATAGATAGCAGTCTGCAGTTTGAGTACATAGATGACCCTCGAGTTCAACGCATTGAGCCAGAGTGGAGCATTACTAGGTGAGTAAGATTGATGAAGTACATCTGAAGGGATATGAGGTTCCATCATCTGGAAGACAGTGTGGTTGGTGGAGTAATCTATCTGAAGGGAAGTGAGATTAACAGGGAGGGAGATGAAGGTGCAAAAACCCTAAATCCCAAGGGTGGCTCATATTGGGTATGCCAATGGTTGAAGGTCACTGTACCAAATTTAAGGGGTTTTACCTAATCTAGCTTCTTCTTGTTCCCAGTGGCCACACACCCCTAACTATCACAGGCTTCAATCTGGATGTCATTCAGGAGCCAAGGATCCGAGTCAAGTTTAATGGCAAAGAATCTGTCAATGTGAGTAACCTTTGGTCTTCCCTTCCCTGGCCTCAGTAATCATGGCTCTCTGCCAACTTCTTACAAGGCCAGGAGCTAGGGACAAGGCATATGAATACCTGGCCACTAGACAGGGAACTTGATTGAAGATTTGACTCTGTTGTCATGGTTCCAAACAACTGAGCCCAGAAACTAATGTGATAGCAGTATCATTTCTGAAGATGATATAGCAAAGGTCTAAAAGTGCTGGCTTCCAAGTTTGATAGAACACAAAAGGATAATGCTCACTTTAGTGAAAATGTTCACTTAAAGGCTAAAGTGTAGGAGATGGATTGAAGTTCTTCCTCTCCATTTAGGAACTTCTACATTGGAAGCAAGACTCTGCCATTTATGAGCTATATGGCTCTGATCAAGTCTTTAACTTTCGAGATCCTGTGCTCCTCACAGGTGAATAGCTGACAGGCTTGCTTTGCAGTTTCAGACCAGGCCAGCCATGAACTTAATTCTGACCTGTTGGCAAGCTGATCACAGTTTCTTCACTACTCTGCATAGCTGACAATCACATTCTTTTTAAAATAGTTCTCTGTATTTTTTAAAATAGTTCTCTTATTCTGATGAGAACAGAATGTCTGATAAGTTATTGAAAAGTTTTCAGTTTGTTCCTGTAGTACACAGTCTTACTCTTTTCACCCAGCCTTTTCTGAACATCATTGTATTCATAATTATAGTACAGAAAGATGCTGTGATGACCATTATTATTACTGTGAATTACTACCATTACTTTGGGACATGCAAAACGTAAAATGATGTCTCTCCTCTTATCCCTGACACGTGTCCAGCCTGCTGAATCTTCCTTGGAAAACATAGGTGCCCAAAAATAACACAATGCTAAGCTGGACCAAGAAATGTCTTAAAAATCAGCAAGTCTCATCCCCTCTTGCTTAGCAGAGAGACTAAACCCACAATCACAAGGTGATTTCAGGCAGGTTCATGTTAGATTTCAGTTACGTAGGCTTTTCATATCTTGACCATGTGAGATGTTTATGGGCCTGATTTCCCATCATGCTAGAGATATTCAACACTTTTGGCTAGGTAAACACATGTTCCTAAGTATAGAATTTGAACCCTGTCTACCTACTGACAACTAAGTCTTCTCTGAGCTCCCAGTCACTGCTGTTCTGCCAAGATTCTGGAGCCTTGGGTGCTAGGAATGGAAGCCTTAAACTTACACCTGGGTAAATAAACCATCTCTTCTCAAATTAAATACAGGCTTTATAATACAGATTTACCATCATTCCAGCATTACCAACCAGAGTACAACTCACAAACCAGTTCTTCAGAAAAGGGAGCCTCATGCCAAGGCAGAAACCTATGAAAACTGGGTCCTTCAGGCAGAGGCAGAAGAAAAAGCTGGCTCTAGTTTTTCTTGGGCTCCATAGGAAAGACAGGGCCAGAGGATTGATTAGTGTTATGTCAAATGCCACTAAGGCATGAGGGGATGTTTCTGGTTGCCTTGGAATGTTTAGGGCATGTGGGTAGTATGACATGAGGTGGCTCTGTCATTGATCTCTACATGAAAGGAATGCTGGCTGGTAGCAAGGCTTTTGCTGTCTCAAGGAACTGGCCAAGCTAGGGAGAAGTCTCTCTCCAGCCGGCAGGATCAGTATGACAATGAACAAATATACATAAGATGAGATGTAAATATAGTATAGAAAGAATGCAGTGATGTTGGCATGAGTCAGACAAGGAACTCCCAAAAGCTCAATGAGAAAATATAGGGCAAGAGCTTCCTTCTTACCTGACATGCTGCAAAAGCCACAGTCCAGGTAAGGTCCTTTCTCCCCTCCCTTTGGATTCATCTATATCTTAAGGACTATTCCCTCACTGCCACCTTCACTATATACCATGACTGCAGTATTTCCAGGAACTAAAATATAGTTCCACCCTCTGGAGAGTTGTAAGGCCCTAGGCCTACATGGTGACCTGCCTGTAAGTATCCAGGCCAGCAAGCCTGGATTGAAGGCATGAGGGAAGGCAGTGTCCCTAGAACACAGCCCCACAGTGCTTTGCTATGCCTCTGTTTACGGGGTAGAGAAAAAAAAAAAAAAAACACTTTACCCTTTTGATACATTTGGGCCCCAGCTTAGTCTCATCCAACCTAGGGTTTTCCTTTTCCTTGTGTTCCAAGTTCCCAGTAGATAGTGAGGAAGGCTGACACAAAACCTCAAAATGCATATGTATTTTGACAGAGTGTGATGCAGAAGGGCTGGCAACACACAGAGGCCTCTTGTTTAGAAGTGATTTTCTTATTCACATAGGATTCTCATGTGAGTCTAGGGAAACTGGGATTATAAAGAGGAAGATTCCACAGCAATGGAGAATCATACTGAGCTGAGAATCTTCCCTGCAGAACTAGGAATTCAACTCTAACTCAACTGTACTAATTTAATAGCACCTGTTGCTTTTCCTATGCCTCAGTATCCCAAGCTGCACCATGACATGAACATTAAGTTGGAAAATGGCTGCTGAAGTGTACAATGAAAAGGACAAGAATGGAAATTGATTGCTAGCACAGCAGAAGGGCCCCAAGGAAACTGTTCTGTGAGGGAGAGTTAAGATTTAGACTTGAAGTTATGACATCACTTCTACATATTAGCTCTTTTCTATTCTACTGTCAACTGTTTCACACAGGGACCTGTTTCTGACCATAAAGCCTGAATGTGCATGTTGGCCAGACACATACACAAACACACACACACACACACACACACACACACACACACACACACACACACCCTGATAGGCAGGATGTACTAGAGTTTTTGAGGGGGTCTTAGGCTGTTCCTGTGACAGCCCAACTCCCAGTGAAACTGAGATAACTGTGGTACAGAGTAAAAGTTAGAGGGCAACATCCTGGAAGGCACCACCCTCCCTGTGGAGTGTGGGGGGAATGGGATGGGAGGGTGGTCGGGGGGCATGGGAGGGAGGGACAGAGGGAGAGGGAAATGGGATCGATATGTAAAATAAGAAAAATAAATAAATAAATAAATAATAATAAAAGAATTAGATTCTAAAAAGAAGAGTTAGAGGGCAAGATGGACTCTGTTGGTTTTTTGTTTTGTTTTGTTTTGTTTATTTCTAAGCTTCTCCCATGGGTCTGTTATTAGTTTATTTGGTTGGCTGCTGTCTTGGCCTCAGAATCAACCACTGCAGGAGAGAATAAGAATAACTGACTTTACTAGGTGGCAGCTATGCCAATAGAATTTAATAGCAGACCAGAGAGGTCTATCAAAAGACAAGGGATCACAGTGACACTACTAGGTTCTACCCCAGTGCAGACGGAGAAGTACATGGCTAAAGAAAAGAAAGAAAAGACTGAGTTGCAGGATCCTGTTTACTTACCACTTTGTCCTGAAACATTAGCTGAACACTATGCAAGATGCAAAATGCTCCTCACACCACTTCCTACTCCACACCACATACTCCCTCACTGCAACTGTCCTTTTCTTCATACATTCTTACATCCTCAACCCCAGACATTTTCATTGCTATCCTCTCCACCTGAAACTGTTCCTGCACTGTCCCTCTCTGGCCAAGGTAAGCCTCCCATTCTTCAGATGAAAGTATTCACTACTTCTGAGGGAAATCCTTCATGAATGCTGCTTCAGGCCATGCAAACTCACAGACTTTCCAAAGCATCTGGTCCTTCCCATTCATGCATTTCACAGTATCATGCCCTGTGCTGCCTCAGGCTCTCTGTGGACTAGCTTATAATGCTTGTTTAATTAATCCAGAGTTGTCCCTCGAGACTACTTCATTCTGTGCACCAGACTCTCACCCCAGTGTCTGCTCAAGGCAATGTTAATGAATAAATGAATGGGGTTAAAGGCATCATCACCACATTGAGCTGGAAGGACTCACATGTAGTGAAGGAAGTCAAGCAAACAGAGGGTAAGAGCAGATGATAGACCCACCTTCATCCACCAGATGGTCAGAATGCTGATTTCTACCTCCTAGGTGTGTACAGTTGTAAACACAACCACCCTCACCTGTCTGGCACCGTCTCTGACCAGTGACTACCATCCAGGCCTGGACACTGTGGAACGGCCAGATGAGTTTGGATTTCTCTTTAACAATGTCCAGTCCTTACTCATCTATAATGAAACCAAGTTCATCTACTACCCCAACCCAACTTTCGAACTGCTCAGCCCCACTGGGATCTTGGATCAGAAGCCAGGCTCACCCATCATCCTGAAGGTAGGAACACCAATGGAGGGGGGAGGCCTGGATAGTGGGGAGAGAGTTCTGCAGGCCCTTCCCTTTTTAGGAGGCCAAATCTACAGGTAGTAGCATCCAGTTTTGTTGCACCCCACTTGCCCTTAAGTCCCATGTGTCCTCCTTTCATCTGTATTTGTCCAGAATTTTGTTTCTCCCCTTCCTTTCCTCCTCCTCCCAACCCCCCCCCCCCCACTGCTATATTTCACTTTCCTTTGCTTTATTTTATTTTATTGTTCTCCTTTAATCTGTGGCAGATGAAGTCTCCTTTAAAAACCTGACATGGAGGCATTTATTGGTTTTTGCATTGTTGCCCCCCCCCCCCGTCTCCTTTGTAGATAATTAATTTCTGCTTACATATACCAAGTCTGTATATGTTCTCTACAGGGCAAAAATCTCTGCCCTCCTGCCTCTGGAGGGGCCAAACTCAACTATACAGTAATGATTGGAGAGACGCCTTGTGCAGTCACTGTGTCTGAGACACAGCTGCTCTGTGAACCTCCCAACCTCACCGGGCAGCACAAGGTTATGGTGAGTGAACCGTCTTCTGTCTCTTTCCTCTACCCAGTCTTAACATACAAGCATTAAGATTCCATTTCATATCATTGCCTGACTCATGCCCTCCATATTTCCTCATATTTCCTGCACCAAAATAGATAGCAGTTGGGAACACATAAATAGGAAGACAGATCCCAAGGCAGAAATAGCTTAGTATCCAAATATGAACTGCACTGTTTAATCTATCCTGTTGTTCTTCACACTGTAATACTGTAGGATATGATGGCATACCAGGGCTCTACACCTGTGTGCACTGTATGTGTGTCTCTGTGTACAATGTATAGGTTCATGTGGGCGGGATGGTGTTCTCACCTGGCTCGGTGAGTGTCATCTCCGACAGCTTGCTGACCCTGCCAGCCATCATCAGCATTGCAGCTGGTGGAAGCCTGCTCCTTATCATCGTCATCATTGTCCTCATCGCTTATAAGCGCAAGTCTAGGGAAAATGACCTCACACTCAAGCGTCTCCAAATGCAGATGGACAACCTGGAGTCCAGGGTAGCTCTGGAGTGCAAGGAAGGTGAGTGCAAGTGCATCCTCACTTTCTAGAACCCTCAGTACCCTACTAACTTTATTCCTGTCCTTTTCCCACAAGCCTTTATATTCTATTTTTTCTCAGGAGTTTCCCCTGTCCCTGGGGTTAGAGCAAACCTAGGGGGACACTCAGATGTGAGGAAACCTGTCCTTTGGCATTGTTCACTGTCCCTGCTCTACCCCAATTCAACCCACAATTTGGCCAGCTGCCTCACCCTCAAGACTACTGTGCCATTACAGTCAATTTTGCCAGATCTTACTGTGTCAGACTAGATTCTTTAATTGCCAGTGTCTTTCCCTTTGCTAATATTCACAGAGGTACTTTTGCACTATATGGAAGCCTCAGCAGGGAAAGTAGGAGAGCACACCCCTCATCTCCATCCTGGCCTATCATCTCCTAGGATTTGTTTTCTGTCATTACTGTAGACTAAATGCTCCAAAGGCCAGCTTGCTGGCAACCTTGGGTGTAAATGTGTGTAGGATTGGAGATTGTGTTTTCTCTTACCTCCCACGCAGACACATCCACATGGTGACAAGTATACCTGGCATTCTCATGGGCTGAGGTCCTGGCAGGCTATCTAGGTAAACATCTCAATTAGGAATCAACACATTTTTTTTTCTTTTGCTGCAAGTGGCTTTTCACAAGCAAACAACTGTTGGACAATGGGAAAAAATTGTACTAGAAGAGATGGATCAGAGCCCTCCCACCTTCCTCATACCATAGCACAAAGCCTGAAGAATTACCCCTGACTTGGGAAGGAGACACATGGGAGCCCTTCTCTGCCTGAACTCACCTTTGGGCATTTGAAAGCCAAGACCTTCAGGGTTCTCACATCTCAGTTCATCTTCTTGCTAGGGGAAAGAGATCAGTTTGCTTATCTAACCTTCACTGAACTCTAGCAGTTCTCCCCTTGCTTCTAACACCTATAAAGGGTCAAAGTCATGATGTTCTCTTCTCTATATTTTAGCCACCTCTACAAATGTAGAAGTAAAAAACTTACAGATAAGCATCTCATCATAGTATGTTACCCAGATTCCATGTACTATAACAAATCCTGAAGGTAATCACCTAGTAAAAAGAAAATGGAGGGGCTGGAAGATAGCTTTGTTACATGCATAAGGACCTGATAATGATGCCTGTAACCCACATAGGCATGTGGCATGTGCTTATAATTCCAGCTCAGAAAGCAGAAACGGGAGGATCTCTAGGGCTCACTGGCCAGCAAGCTTAACCTAATTTGTGAACTCCAGGCTAATGAAAGCCTGTCTCAAAAGAAGTAAATAATATCTCTGAAGATACCACATATCTGTTCACCTGCATACATACACACACATTTTTTAAGTTATTTTGTCTCATCTTGGAAATTTTCTGTGTACAATTAGTCAGTCCTATTGCTAGTAGGCCTGTGGTGAGGTCGTGTACAGTGGTTAAAGTATATAGTCAAGTAAAGATGGAGATCCAGAGTCCCATGATACCCTCCAACCCCTAAGATCTCCTCCAGGGTCCACCTCTTCAATTTTTACTACTGCTAGTTGCTCTAAGTTGGGAAGCATGCCTTTAGGAGAACCTTAAAATCCTATAGTAAACAACCTACAGCAACAGCCTAGAACTCCTTTCTTCCACACCCCTGTACCCTGCTGCCTCTGTGCCCCAGCTTCCCTTCTCCTGCAGACAAGTATTTGCCTCTGCCCTCTCCCCTGGCCTGAACATCTTCTGAGCTTCCGCCTTCACTCTCTCTCACAGCTTTTGCAGAGCTTCAGACAGACATCAATGAGCTAACCAGTGACCTGGACCGATCAGGAATCCCTTACCTGGACTATCGCACCTATGCCATGCGAGTTCTATTCCCAGGCATCGAGGACCACCCTGTTCTTCGGGAGCTGGAGGTACTGCCTGTCTTCTAGTGATGCAGGCAAGAGGTTCCCAGGAAATCCAAGGGACAGGAGTAGTGTTATAAGGGAAAAGGGCCAGTAGTTTTAAAAGTATCGCAGAGGTAGAATGACCAGAAATGGTCTCGTTGTTTGCCATTTTCTGATTAATGGATGAATCAATTAAAACTTTGCCTTATTCTATCATAGATTTAAGAAAACTTTAAAAATGATTCTGAGCTTACTTGTACATTTGTTGGTTTATTTACTCAAGAGAATGAGTCAAGGCAGAGGAAACTAAGGTAAAATAAATAAGCAGGGGATGTCTGAGTCGGGGGATAAAATGACTGCAGCCCTCATGAAGAGGGTCTACAAGCAGGCATCATCACCATCAAGTCTTAAAGGACCTGGGTGAACATCCAGAATCTGTCCCCTGAAGGTAACCCTGCATACCCCAGGTACAGGGAAATGGACAGCAGCATGTGGAGAAAGCCCTGAAACTCTTCGCCCAGCTTATCAACAACAAGGTGTTCCTGCTGACCTTCATCCGCACACTGGAACTGCAGCGCAGCTTCTCCATGCGTGATCGCGGCAATGTGGCCTCTCTCATCATGACAGGCCTTCAGGGCCGCCTGGAGTATGCCACAGATGTCCTCAAGCAGCTACTGTCTGATCTCATTGACAAGAACCTGGAGAACAAGAACCACCCTAAACTTCTTCTCCGCAGGTCTGACCCACAGCAGGGGAAAGGCAGTTATAGACAGGACATCTTGTCAGATAAGTCCTGCATATCCTCACCCCCAGAAATGGTTTCCATGCAGGGTTGTTTGTGTCCTCATATCAGCCCAGTATGGAATGTGATCTTCCACTGGTCCTGAGAAACCAGGTAGCTTCCAACCCATGTGCATAGCCCTGTCTAGGACTCAACATGAACCCTAGTCCTCCCACTTGTCTCTATGACCTAACACTGGGGAGCTGCCTTTTTGTGGTTTGTTTTCCTCATAAACAAGATGAGAATAATAGCTATCTCTTAGTCTGTGTCCCTCCCTCTGCTTCTAGAGCTGTGTGCCCCAGCATGGTAGCCACTATTAACAAAAATGAAATGTGTCTCCATCTCACTGGTCACCTTGTGTTTGGTGGCCACCATATTGGACAGCACAGGCAAATCATTGGCCATTATCCTACTTAGATCTGATAGACATGCCAGGCTAGAGAATAGGTACATATTTGGGTCCCAGCTTCCAGGCTTGGAATTGCTAGCATATACCAATGCCTCAGTTGCCACTTTTCTGGCAGGGTGTTTCTTGCACCCACCCTCAGTTGAGGTCATAGGAAGCCAAGCACAAATCGAGGGCTCTGAGCATCAGGGGTTGAATCTTTCACCTACACTCAGGCTTTTCTTGTAAGGTCTTGGGTTTTCAGGCCCCACATGGGGTGGCTTTGTTTTATAAGCATTGAGCCCCCATCCTGCCAGTTTGAACATTAGAAGATTTCATTAAGAGCTGTTGTATTTAAATTAGAGCTAATCTCAAACACAATGCTGGGAGAGGGTGCTGGGAGGACCTAGAGACAAAGCTGCAATTTCTCATGCCATTGTCACTCTCTACCAGTCCTGATTGCTAAGCAGTCCTGGCAAATGCCTGGGGTTTATTTCAGCCAGAGGGTATAATTTGCACCACGTGTGGGGATTTTAAATACCCCTTGGCATCCCCATCACAGTGCTTTGCTTTGTCTCTTCCCAAGTTCCCAGACCTGCAGCCTAGGGTGGAGGAAGGGAAGGAGGTGGTACATATAGAAACAGATTCCCCTGTTTGCTAAACTCTTAAGCATTGCTCTCTACCTGCAGGCCTAGAGAGCACAGGAACCACAGTACTAATCATTCATATTTACACAGTGTTTTACTGTGGAGCCAGATGTTATCATTTGCATTTTTAATATATTAACCCATTCAAGGCTAAGAATTAAAAGTGTGAATATTATGATTGTGTACATGTAATGCTGGGGCAAATGAACCCAGAGAAGACAAATGATTTGCCCAAGATAATACAGCCAGTAAATAATACAGTCCAGATTTGAACAGGTGGCAACCTGTGAATATTTGGAAAGGCAGGTACCAGGCATGTACCCAGAATACTTGAATATGCAGAAACCACAGTGGAACAGACTCTTTTCATCACCGTGAGACCAGAGGAAGTAGGAAACTAGTCCTTATAGCCTAGTGGGATAAGTCTTTACAACCCACATCAGGTGTCACCAACATAGTCTGTGGTACCACAGAGCCACAAGGATGAAATGTCCTGACATTCTAGAGTCTCAGAAAATTGAATCCTGGGAAATGACCCCCACCCCCACCCTCAGCAATGGCAACTTGCCACTAAGCATGAGAAACAACTCACTCCTGGCCAGTCCCACAGTCCCACTTCCAATTATTGATGGAGTTTTGTTGGGTTGCCAAGGTCCAGTCTTAGCCGTATGCCCTCTAAACACAGGACAAGCCTAGATTACTGCCAGACCCTTGTGTAATGAGCCATCCCCCACCCCTCTGCCTTCTCCAGGACTGAGTCTGTGGCCGAGAAGATGCTGACCAACTGGTTTGCTTTCCTTCTACACAAGTTCCTGAAGGTAAGAGGGAGGAAATGAGCAGAGCCAAAGTCAGCCACACACTCTGGCCTTAGAAACAGGGATTTCTTGGTGTGGCTGCTTTTAAGTAAAACAGGACTGGGATTCTCTACTCTGGTTGCAGAAGCAATCAGGAAGGTTCAGGGAGGGTCTAAACTCACTACTCTAATATGCCTACAGGAGTGTGCTGGAGAGCCACTCTTCATGCTATACTGTGCAATCAAGCAGCAGATGGAGAAAGGCCCCATCGATGCCATCACTGGTGAGGCCCGCTACTCCCTGAGTGAGGACAAACTCATCCGGCAGCAGATCGAGTACAAGACCCTGGTGAGAAAGTCAAAAGCTAGGTTCCAGTCCCTATACCACCTGTGATTGTCCCTACTCCTAGACCAAGAGGCCATCTACCAAAAAGAGGCTTAGAGACCAATCTGGGGCAATCCAAAGGGCATATCAACTATATGAATAGCAAGGCAGACCTTTCCCTCATCTTAACTGGTGAGTCAAAAGAGCTTTGTGTGCTTCAGTTTAGCCTAGATGATACATAGAAAGAAAAAAGTTTACTCACCATTAGGGACTGTGTAATCATCAAGGAAAGAAAGCAAATGTGCTGGTCTCTAATGTAAAAGCTTTGAGGACATGAGACCAGCTCTTGATGCCCATGGATCTGTCTCAAACCCTCTCAAGGTCTCATGCAAAGATTACCTTCCCCCGACTCATCTAGGAAGTAGATTCCCTTTTTCTTGAGAAAGGATTAACAGTTTGGCTTCAGCTCTCACAGTAGATGGCAGGAAAAGAGGAGAGAACCATATCTCAGGACAGAGAACTTCATTCTTCTCATAAGGAGAACAATCTTGGAAGAAGATTCTGAGGCCTTGGCTTCTTCCCACACTCTTTCCAAGTATGTCCAGCTCACCCTTGATCCCCTACTTACAGATCCTGAACTGTGTCAACCCTGACAATGAGAACAGCCCAGAGATCCCAGTGAAGGTGTTAAACTGTGACACTATCACTCAAGTCAAAGAGAAGATCCTCGATGCAGTTTATAAGAACGTTCCCTACTCCCAGCGGCCAAGGGCTGTGGACATGGACCTAGGTAGGAAGGCTGTTATTTGAATGGGAGGGCAAAAGGGGAACATGGCTTCCCAGAGAATTATCTGGCTATGAGATGACTAGGGAAAAGGGATATGAATTTCTGCTTTGTACACAGCCCCCCACTGAACATGACTAGGTCCTGGAAAGGTGAAGGCTATGGGAAGTACTTTTCTCCTAGGCTTTGTCCACTCAGATGTGAGTCTCTTACACATCAGCCTTGCCCTGACCCCCTTTTGGATGATTCAAAACTCTAACACTGACAGCAGCTAATGGAGACAAGGTTACTAGGTCTCTACAGGACATACAGACTGTGACCATGACTGACCCTGCCATTCTCACTACTGCCCATACCATCCTTTCTACCCAGAGTGGCGCCAAGGTCGGATTGCCAGAGTGGTGTTGCAGGATGAAGACATTACTACCAAGATAGAGGGTGACTGGAAGAGGCTTAACACGCTGATGCATTACCAGGTGAGGGCAGGCCCTCCTGTGGCCTTCATCCCCAAGATGTTGGAAGGCCTCTAAAGCCAACACAGTACTTTCCTCTTTCCATTTTCTACTTCTGTGCATCTGGAACAGTAATCCTTAGCTGCAGCTGTCCATTAGATTAACTGGGGGAACTTACAAAACTTGGACCCTCAGAACAGATACAACTGCCTTGGCATTTCTCTCCTGTGTATTCCTATAGCTATAGAAGAGACAATATGTTGCAAGTGTCTGGCTTCTTACTAATGTCACTGGCTCTCTGGCTTGTAGCAGAATAGGGCACAGACTTGTCTTCAGCCCTAAGATCCACAGTATCTGGAAACATCACTTAAGTGCTCTTTCTTTTTACCACAGCAGTGTTTAAATTAGATTCAGCATAGAAAGTGACAAGGAATATGTTTGTAATACTGGAAGACATGGAATGAACAATCATACATTTTCCAGCAAAAGAATATAAGCATCCACTCCACTCTGCTTTCATCCCATGGGAACCACTCACAACTTGGGGGTCTCTGTAATATTAAGCACAGGTAGACATACTGTCATTCAGGAAAAGTACTAAAATAAGAGCTAGAAATGAGAGACACTGAGGAAAATTAAGCCAACCAGAGGAAGTACCTCAGGCTATAAGACCCATGGGACTGTTTGATTAATAATATCCTCCTATGTGCCTGGCTTACAAAGAGAGGCCTTCATAGGAGCTGACTAGCTAGCTGAGCTACCACTGACCATCCACTGGGAGGCCCTGAAGCTGGCCAAGTGCCTCAAAACACAAAAGAATCTGGGGCACCTGGGATACCCCAAACTACTCTTCCTTGCACATCTTCCATGCTGCACCTAGATCTCAGCAACAAGTGAAGGAAGGTGTGTAGATAAGAAGTGAGGCTTAGAAGGTGTATTCTAGCCCAACACCCACTCTAGTGCTGGGATTCTATAAATTCTCCAACATTGAGCTATTCATCTGTTCACTGAAGCTAATGCCTATGACAAGGAAAGGCATGAAGGTAGCTCGAAGAATTAGAAACAAGTGCACAAATAAAGGATTTGCATTTACATACAAGCAGAAGTAATCAAATCACTCCATGTTAATTCCACACAGGTGAGCACACATACACAACCACCTTTACCTGGTAAGTACATTCAGAACAACTGTAATGAACCAATTAGAGGTGATAGAGAAAGTGCAAAAGAGACCAACTCTGTGCCACCAAATCTTCAGTTCCTGAAGGGCAGGCTTAGAGCCTTTGCTTTCATCTATCTCTGACACCCTAAGGATTGTCCCTGGTTACCCATCCTGTGACTTCTAATGAGAACAGAATACCCCTTTCTTACTGTGCTTCTTTTACAAAACACTTTCAATTCCTTCATATCATTTATTGTTCATATATTCATTCATTCCTCAAATATTTTCTGAGCTTTACTGAGTACAAGGCACTTCTACACTCTAGTTATGAGTGACAGGGACAGCAGGGAGTCTTCCTTCCTTTGAGAGATGATGTAGGTGGTGTTATTATTCAAAATGGCAACATGAATACCAACACATGCTGAGTGCTCACTGGGCACCAGGTACTTCACTCAGCCTTTATGTGTCTTAATTTCTTTAGTAATCATCACAACAGTGATTACCAGACATGATTATTATCCCCAGTGATAAATGAGACAGCCAAGGCCCAGAGAGGCTAAGTCATTTCACTAGTAAGTGGTGGCAGGGCTGAGGTCAGATCCAGCCAGATGTTTTGAGCTTGGATTTATACCACCTATTGGCTGAAAGAGAGAAACAAAATTGGACAAAACAAAACATGGGTGGGGTGGGGAGACAGAGTAAAACAAAGTGAGAGAGAGAGAGAGAGAGAGAGAGAGAGAGACAAACAGAGAAAGAGTAAGAAGGAGAGACACATAGTGAGACAAAGAGAGAAACGTACCTTTAATAACTAGCCTTGGAATTAGTCACATTAGTCACCTTGTGAATTTCCCTGTTGATGACAACAAACCATAAATAATGTCATCTGTCCTTGCTGGAAGTATAAATTCCCACCCTTGTCAGGCTTTCAGAGTAACATTTCTGGGTTGTAGGTGGCTTGAATTCTGACAGTACAAATAGTTGGCAAATCCAGAGCTTCTCCAACAGGAGGTGAATACTGGCACCTCCCGGGAATAATGGTGGCTGCACAGGGCTCAGAACCCAAGAGCTTTACCCACTCTGCCCTCTTGCTACCCTTCCCTGGAGTCAAAGGTCTTTGGAGCCTTTGCAGGAGAAAATCGTCTTAATTAACAAAGAGATGGGTAAGAAACTGCCTGGGCTTCTGTAGATTTATAGGGAGGGTAAAATTAAACACCACCACTAAAGCTGGCTATCAGGGAATCTTGTTAGCACTAATGTTCATTTATAGTTTGACTTCTCAACATTTAATTCTTTTTTGGTGAGAGAGAAGAACTGACAATTTAAGATCCAGAAAGATGGTTTTATGGCTGGTGAAGCTATAAATCAAACTTACAAAGTTCATAAAAATTGTTAAAATAAAAAATGGTTTAATAGGAATGTTTTATGGCCCATAACATTATTATAGCTGTTTTATTCCCTCTGTGTTCAGGGTTTAATTGGATCACCATGATTCTGGGGATTCTCCATTTTTATTAGATGGAGGGCAATCTTAAATCAAGATGGCCCCAAATGTTTTCTCTATGGCTCCTCATTCATCAGCACTCCCCCAACTGCCGGGTACTAGGCCTTGCATCTTCTCAAAGGACAGGGCAATGTGCCATCTTTCTCCCAGTTTCCCAAGGGCAGATGTCCTTTTGGTGAGACTATTCGAGGTGGCCAACACATAATACAACACAGGCTAGGAGGAAATTGGAGCCAAAGGAAAGATGGGGCTCAGACCAATGTGACTTTTAATAAAACCTCAAATTTGGGAACATAATGAGGAGAATGTGTGCTCTGGAGAAAAATATAGATTCCTCAGTATATTAATGTTTGAAGCAGTGACTTAGCCCATCCCTGCTTCTGTTCTTTCATCTGTAAAATGAAAATAGTCATCCATAACATGAAACAGTAGGAGTCTGAGTCTAACCCTTCTGTTCAATAGAAATAGAACACTAGCTACATGTGTCATTCTAAATTTTTCATTAGCTCCACTAAAAAACAAACAAACAAAAACAGAAACAGTGTTGAAATAATGTTAACAATATACTTCATTTAACTCAGATTAAAAGAATTAGCCCAAATGTATAATCAATATCAGACTTATTAATGACATCATTTATATTCTCTCATTCATACTTTCTGAAAACGTGTATGTGTGTGTGTGTGTGTGTGTGTGTGTGTGTGTGTGTGTGTATGAGAGAGACAGAGAGAGAGAGAGAGGTGTCAACTCAGATAACTAACTGAGACTGGCTACATGTCATGTGATCCAAGAGACATAAAAGGCAGTAATGGTTGTTGTAATATTTCTGAACTTCTACTAACTCCACACTCCTTAGAAGTATTTAACTTCTCAAGACACCTTAAGTCTCCCATGTTGTCCTTTTGTGCCCTTCTTAGGTGTCAGACAGGTCAGTGGTGGCTCTGGTACCCAAGCAGACCTCCTCCTACAACATCCCTGCCTCTGCCAGTATCTCCCGGACATCCATTAGCAGATATGGTAAGGAGCCAGATGCAATTTGGAAACTCAAGATCTTGGCTTCTGTGATGCTCAGAGACAGGGACCTCCTGTTCCTGCCTTTATAAGGAAGCCCCTGTTGCTGTCATACCTTCCCACAAAGGTTCTGGCTCAATTGTCTCCTTCCTAAGGAGTCTCAAGGGCCATCACAAGCCCTTTCTTTTCTATCTATGCCCAATAAGAAGCTGGAATAACCTCCTTCAAGGATGTATCCTGACTAGAAGTTCATTTATCTCACTTTATAGCTGTGGACCCGGCTGAATTCGTAATTGTAGCTCTTTTCTCAAAAGTGTCTTAGTTTGGTACACAAAATTGATCATTCTTTTATTTCCCTGATCCATTCTTTCTTACTTTGTCTGTTTTAGTAGACTGCCTACCTGAAAGGAGCTGTAAGACTAAAGGCAGTAGTTTCAAAAAGGGTTCAAAAAATATATTCCAGGATGCCATAAGAAGTGGCTGTTAACTACAAAGAGGATCATTACAACTTGAGCCCATCTATCTAGACTTTCTAGAGTACCTGTGTATATATGTCTAGCTGACATTTTACTTGATTATTGTTCATTGCTAGAAACATCAGAAGAGAGGGAACTCCCAAATTTTCATGGGTGTCTGAGGTCTTAAAATTCCTAAATCTTCCTAGAAATAGATTGTAGACTCCTCTGTCCAACCAAAGATCCCTAAAACTATTCACAAAATATGTAGTTCCAAGAGTCTTTTTAAGGTGAAGCATGCTTATTCTGAGAAAATGCAGCAGTTGGGTGGGATTCCTGGAGGATACTTCAGACAGAGGGGTGGCCTTCCTCACTCTGCCCCCCACCCCCGTACCCTCTTCCAGACTCTTCCTTCAGGTACACAGGAAGCCCAGACAGCCTCCGGTCCCGGGTCCCCATGATCACCCCAGACCTGGAGAGTGGTGTCAAGGTGTGGCATCTAGTGAAGAACCATGACCATGGTGACCAGAAGGAGGGAGACCGGGGAAGCAAAATGGTATCTGAGATCTACTTGACCCGGCTTCTAGCTACCAAGGTAACTCCAGCACTGCTCAGCCAAACTATTCCCTACACTTTGGCACAAACACTCCTACTACAAGTGCTTCCTGCCCACTTTTTTGCTCAACTCCATTATCTCTGCCTTTTATACCTGTTTGCTAGTCCAGTGAGAGAAAAGAGAAGGGTCCAGATGGACCAGCAATCTGAAAAAAGACTATCCTTCCCAACCCATTGCATCCCAGGCTGAGAAGCGGTAAAGGCATCATACCCTAGGTTTCCCAGGGGAGAACAAACCAAGCCTTCAAGATCAGGCTGATTCTAAATGCTAACCCCACTGACCCCACTGCAATGCTACAGGGACTCTAACACAGTTGCTTAAAGCTCTTAGATTTTTCCAAGAATAGTCTATAACAACTTTATCAGACTCATGTTTCTGCTTTTGCTTTGTTAAATATGCCCAGTATATCAATAAGAGATAACCAAAAGACATCAGAGAAAGTTGGGAGTTATATTAGTCCCCAAAGTATGTCTGGACTCAGGTCCAAAGCTTGTCACTTCCTCTAGAACCCATGAAGCCTGTGTATCAGGGCTGTGCCTGAGTTCTCTTGAAGCTAGACCTGAAGCCTATGCTTCTGACACGAACACCTTAAAGCTGTTCATCGTTCCTGTCAGACCTTCCCCCATCTGCCAAGGCTCTACCAGGACCAGACTCCCTGAGCACCCTCTGTAGACTCTGCTACCAGCCTGATACCTCTCACTCATTCTAGAAAACCCTATTTCAGAGCATTTTCTATCATCCAATCAAATGCCCTGAGCCCATACCTTTAGGGCATGCTGCCACAGATTAGAGGAGAGAGTCCTTCTATGGATCCCCAGACTTGTCCAACTCCACAACATCCCATCCAGTACCTAGTTCACTCCTGCCCCTTCATCTGCACATTTTTTTCATTTCAGATAAATTTCCAAGGTAGAATGGATCCAAGACACCATCTGGCATGCCTTCTGCTGTCCTCTAGCACCCACCCAACATCTCATTGCCGCCCTTACTCCCACAGGGTACCCTGCAGAAATTTGTCGACGACTTGTTTGAGACCTTGTTCAGCACTGTGCACCGAGGTAGCGCTCTCCCCCTAGCCATCAAGTACATGTTTGATTTCCTGGATGAGCAGGCAGACAGACACAGTATCCACGACACAGACGTGCGGCACACCTGGAAAAGCAACTGGTAACCCCAGGGGAAATCAATAGAGGTGCCACCTGGGGAGGCCCAGCACTCTGGGTGTTGGGCTCTAACAGGGACTAGAGATGGGAGGTAGCTGGGTCTTAGCTGGGGCTGGGGGAACACAGCACATGTAGCACATATACACACATACACATTGCAGAGTCAACATTATCCCCAAGGCTGCCAGATTTTTACCAGACCAGCAAATCTTTCAGGGAACAACAGAAATAATGCATGATTCTTGTTCAGCACACTTCCACATCCAGATTAATGGTGGGAGAAGCAGCCCCTAGCTCCTAGAATGAACCCTTACCCCACCCCAGACTAGCTTATAGACCAGACAGGGCTTATCCAAGAGCCAGAGTCAAAAGGCTTCCTCTAGTACTGAGCACAAAGGGGGAAGGCATTTGGATTGGGCAGAAAGCCCACACAGCTGTCTAGAGTCAGCAATCCCCAGAAAACAGAACTGACACAGATGGACTCAGGCTGTTATTTGGAAATCAAAAGTCCCAGCAACCAGCAAAATACTTTGAAAGAGCCAATGGGGCCTTCAAATAGACCTTGGTGTTGTGGCCACTGGGCCATTCTCATCTGTAATTTTTGGTCACAGTGGAGTGACATGGAGAGTTTCAATGGCAATAGGTTGAAGAACATGCAGTAAGTTCTACCAAGGCAGGTCCATGGCATCTCCTCAACTTTGTAGGATGCCCAGCCCAGTACTAGGAATGGCAGTTTGGGGACAATCAGGAGAAAGTTCAAGGTTATTCCATTTTCTGTGCCTTCTGGCTAGACTCAAGCAACAGTAATGCACCCTCCTCCCACGGTGTGATAAGTCTGAGTCATGTGGCTAACACTTCACATAGCAAAGGTTCAAGAAAAAGAGCTTAACCATGTCCAGTACTGCCAGAAGAGGACAGGACAGAAGAGCTGTGCCAATGCTAGCTGGGAGGTGACCAACACTGATATTCCCAACATCTAGCATTAGAAAGACAGAGTGCAAAGAAAAGAATAGGGAGGTCTAAGGACAGTATCGTAGGTTAGAAGGGCAAGCCCATAATAAAGTTCATGCCACACAGGCACCAGAAGAGTCAAGGCTGGAAGGTAGCTGGAGAAGACAGACTTTGGAAAGATGCAAAACTGTAGCTATAGAAGCTGTCCTGGTTTTGAAAGAGGGCAATGTGCTTACTGCCTTATGGCCTCAGGAACAGCAAAGACTGATTCCCCATTGTCTTCAGATTCTAGAGTCTCAAAAGCAGGTTCCTTTTGGGAAAAACTCAGCCATTCTTTCCTGGAGTACCAAAACGATCTCCTTCCCTTCCCTCTGCCATGCACAGACACAGAAAGCCCTGGAGGAGACCCCTGAGAGAAACCCCCCATTAGGCACATGCCCTCTGACACAGACCTAGCAAATGGCTTAGTGGCCCACTGGGTCCAGAGGGAAGGCCACGCTTCCACTGAGATAGTGCTGGGAACTGTCTGCCCACTTCCATACAATGGCGAGAAGCTTGATGTCTTTGTCTGAAGCCCTGAGAAAACTGCAATATTCTCTGTGGTTGACCTTCCCTGGAGCACCAGGGCCTTTGGAAAAAGCCTGTCAATAAGAAGCAGAGCACAGATACACCAACCCTTAAGCTATTAGGGAGCAGAGCCAATGACCTGGTCTGACAAGACCAAAGTCTCTTCATTCTCTTACAATCAGGAGCAGCACAAACTGAGCAATCATCCCCTACTGGACCAGTTTCTGTGTTCATTCCCTTCTCTTTTAGAATGGGACATCTGCTCTATCAACAGTAAAGGGAGAGTAATAGTAAGAGTATTTTGTCTTTTCCTACAGCCTTCCTCTGCGTTTCTGGGTGAATGTCATCAAGAACCCTCAGTTTGTATTTGACATCCACAAGGGCAGCATCACAGATGCCTGCCTCTCTGTGGTAGCCCAGACTTTCATGGACTCCTGCTCCACATCAGAGCACCGACTGGGCAAGGACTCACCTTCCAATAAGTTGCTCTATGCCAAGGATATCCCCAGTTACAAGAACTGGGTAGAAAGGTCAGTAGTTCCCCCAAGACACACACTGTGGGCATCCAAGACACCACTGAATACCAGGACTGTCCATGACCACTGGAGACCAGGATATCATACCCCCTATGTTGAGGGAAGGAAACAGGGTTTGTGTCCTGAGGAAGTCTGATAATCATCATCCTAATTAACATTTCCTGAGCATGTAGGAATTACTGTGATAAGGATTTTATATGTTGTTTCACTGAAATGTACAAATGGACAGTTGTAAAATAGCTAATATGATGACCCCTATTTTGCTAATGAGGGAACAGAGGCACAGAGAAGCTAGCAGGTAAAAGAGCTGAGATATGAACACAAGGAGTCTTGCCAGAGTCTGGGCTCTGGACAGAGTAGCTCTTGGCTGGCTGGAGTGACTGCACCTTAGACTCAAACTTCAGCTTGAGGCAGAGGCCATACTAGAGAAAAGATGAAAGCAGGAGCAGTAGGGGCCCTTGGTCCTCTTGACTTGGGCCAGGGTGGGTATTGGTGGATGCTTGCTGAACCCCCATCATGGGCCTGTTCTTTCCATGGCAGATACTATGCAGATATTGCCAAGCTCCCAGCCATCAGTGACCAAGATATGAATGCCTACCTCGCAGAGCAGTCCCGCCTACATGCCACAGAGTTCAATATGCTGAGCGCCCTCAATGAGATCTACTCCTATGTCAGCAAGTACAGTGAGGAGGTAAGATGGTGTCTCAAGGCCAAAGACCAATTCACAGCTTGATCACTGCCTGAAACAATAACAGTAGAGGTCACTTAAAAAATCACAATCCATAATCAGTCATTGAGCCCCAAATCATCATCTTTTCTTTACAAGACAGCCCAACCTCTCCTACTTCATCAAATTCCTCCCTATACATTATACTCTATCATTCAAATATTGTATAACTAATTTTATTCTTTCTTAAATAATAAATAGAATTACCCATTTATACTTGGGCAAATCCTGTCAGTCATTTTGCAGATAGATGATTGATCTTTGACATGAACAGAAATTAACTAGGAAGGTGACAGGCCATGCATTAGCACTGAACCTAAAGAAAGAAGTAGCAAAATAATAGTAGCCCACACTTAGTAGCTCTTACATATACTTTAAACACATGAGAGCTCTATGTACATGCATATATTCCTGTATGTGTCTGTAGATGTGTGCTTTGCATGATGATTTTATGTCATGCCACCCATATGACAGTGGTCCCACCAGATTAAATGGAGCTGAAAAATTTCCCATGTGACCTCAGAGCCATCTGAACCTCATAGCACTCATGCTGCATAAATGAGTCTATCAAACTTCTGGTCATGCAGCTGACAAAACTAGGTACAGTGTGTGCTGTTAGTAATAAGCAACTGTGTAACTAGTGCATAAACTGTGTTTACTATGCTAAACTTTTGTAGCTATTTTATAGCATATTCCTACTTACAAAAGTAGACCCATACATTGCATATGTGTTCTCCTGTATTTGATTCAGTCTCCTGTGCTGTTAAAATCATGTAAGGACTCTTTTCTTAGAAAGTGTCCTCATGGTTAAATAATACATGTCTATACATAGATTTATTCATTTAATCATGCCATCTATTTGACATTACATTCCTAAAGACAGAAAGGTAGAGGGATAGGTGCAGGGTTAATGATTCCAGAAAGTTGTGCCTTTGAAGCTGAGTCCTGAGTCACCTGCCTTTGTTCTGTCCCTCAGCTCATCGGGGCACTAGAGCAGGATGAGCAGGCCCGACGGCAACGTCTGGCATATAAGGTGGAACATCTCATCAATGCCATGTCCATCGAGAGCTGAAAGGAGGACCTCCTGTTCCTGGAAGAGGGACCCATACAAGCTATCACACTGGTGTCTCAAAAGGGGGGACAGGACAAGAGAGGGGTATCAGGCCCCAGAGCGGGCTGCCCGCTGAAACCTCAAGAGGGGAGAGGGAAAGGCTCCTCTCTCAGTTCCAGCCATGTTTCATCACAGCCAGTCCCTGACAGAAGGACCATGAACACCACCCATCACAGCTCAGGACATCATGGGCAAAGAAGAAGGTGGCCCTTCAAGCTGAGAGGCTTGAACCTGATGGTTCTGCCTCTGTGACTGCTGCTTTGCATGAAAACTCACTTGATGTATATTGGGAAATAATGAGAACTTTATTTAATTTTTTAAGAAAAAGGGAAAAATAGAAATAAAACAAAACATAAAGCCTCCCTGTCCAACCCGTCCAACTTTTATTTAATCTGATTTCTGTCCCCTTCTCAGTAACATCTCTCCTTCCTTCTATAGCATCTCTTTCTCAATGTCAGAAAATGCCTGAGAGATGCTACGGAAAAAAGAAAAAAAAAAACAGTGTGGAAATGTTCTCCTCTCCCTTGAACTGAAAGGAAAAGGAGGAGAGGAAAGAAGGAGCACAAGTTCATACTAAACACTTGGCAAAAAAAGCCAAGAAAGCCTGGATCCCACCACAGCCAGAAGCATCTGGGAACTGCAGGTCTTTGTGGGAATCCTGAAAGCTGATTGGCTCCACCTGGCTAATAGACAACTGCTTTCCATGCTGAACCCTTGTGTATCCTCATCTCCTAAGAGGAGGAAGTGCCCATTGAGGACACATAACCCATGGGAACATCTTTTGTTTGTTTCATTTAATTCCGAACCTCAACAAATGAGGAGTTGGACTCTGGTACTTTTCCTTTTTAGTTTCCCTAGAGTTGATATCAGAATTGGGAGAGGTGGTCCTCTCCCAAGCCATCCACCTCCTCCCTGAGGACTCTGAGTAGGGCCCCATGTCAGCCTGTGTCATAAGCCAGGCACACAGGTTGTACAGACCAGGCCTTCTCGGTCTGAGTTGAATGGGGAACATGTATGGGTGTTTGACTCTGGATTTCACTCAGCCATCTACCAGTTTACAGCAATTAAAAAGAAAACAGACTCAATAATACTGTTTACAGTAAGCAATACTTGAAGAGTATAGGTTTAAGAAACAGCAGTATTTATTATTATACTTCCTTTTCTCTTGTGCCTGGAGAGGGGAGGCCAGCCTTCACTCATATCTAGAAGCTCCTGACCATCTGGGAACAGTGAATTTGCCTCAGTAGAAATGACTTGTTTCCCATCATCTCTGTCATCTCTGCCTGTCATGGACCCATGGATGTGAAAGTGGATTGCTTCTCAAGAGGGTACCCATCAGTCCCTCTGTCTCCTGATACCGAATGCCATAGATGGCCAGATTTCCTGAGTATATCTTCCAAGCAGAGGCCAAGGCTACATTCTTGAGTCCAGAGGCAAGCTCTGTGGTAGCAGGACAAGAAATTCAACTGGTAAGCCCTCAGGGAATTAAATCCTCTCGCCTTGGCATGGTCCCAAGCAGCCAACTCTAACAGCTTTTCGAGTATCACCTGTGTCACGGTAGGAAGTCAAGAGAAAGGCAAAGCATTGGCACAGAGGAAGGCCAAAGAGATCTCCCATTCTTGCCTTGTGCTTTTCAAGCGGTCAGGAATACCAGGCTTTAGGGCTGAGAAATAAGGCCAGCTACCATGAGAGAGACTGGACCTGGGTTATTTCCTTGACAATTAACCCAGGATGTGACTTACACCTCCAGTTAATTCCAGTTTCTGATATTCTGACCAGATGTGACTCCCAGCACAGGGCAGGGCAGGAAACCAAGAAGGTGACTTCCAGTCCATGTATGTCTTCAAATGGCTGTCTCACACACAGCAGATGCTGTCTGGGATGTTTAGCTTGTTTCTTGTCTGAATGCAGCTGACAATAGAGAGAGAAAAGCATTCAGCAAAATACTCAGGAAACTTGCTGATTTTATGATCCTTCACAACCAGACATGCCAAGGCCACTTTTCTTCTGATAATCTACTCATGTTCAAGCTTTTCAGGGTCATATTGATAGCCTGGAAAAAATACTAGTGACTGGCCTTCCACACAAAGCCAAAGTGTTTGCTCTACACAACACCCAAAGCTTATCATTCTAGAGCCTGTAACTTATGAAAATGAACGGAGTGGTGTAGTCAAAACAGAAGACTGTACAACCCAGGAAAAACTCCAGCCCACCCTGTTTTTCATTCCAGTTCTGTTAAAGGCTTCCTGAGCAGCTACTACAGCTCAGGCTGATGTCCAGAGTGCCATTTCATCAAGAAATAAACTACAAAATGTTTGACATCTCTTCCAATAGCACCCAAGCCTTCCTCAGTGTGCCTACCTGGTATGTCCCAGCAGCCAGTTATGGTACCCACTCACTGCTTCTGGCATGCTTCACTGAAGATGTTTGAAGAGAATGGAGAGAAATATGGGGAGAGAGCACATCAAAGAGTGTAGATGAAGGGATCAGAGCCAACCATGAAAGGTATTCTAGCCACTTTACTAAAGATTCCATGAGTTGGACAACTTGGGCTGACAAAAGAAGTGGTCAAGGGATATGGTTAAGGAAGAATTAAGAAGAAAAATTCAGCTGGTGACAGGCCAGGCCAGGCGGGTGAGTGATTGCAGAGTCTTGTTTTCGTTCTAGCTTTCTATCTATCCTTCCACTAGCTCTTTGTTTTGGTTCATGAGTAACTGAGACAGTTTACTCCCTAGGGAATGGAGAGGAGAGGAAGTTGGTTTGTCACCCTTCTTGCTATTATTCCACTTAAGGATATTTTGTCCTTTTGTTTAAAAAGGAAAAAAAGTAATAAAGCTGCAACTCTTCCCCACAAGAAGCCATTTATCATTGGGGAGGCATGAAATCTCTCTCAAGCCTACCCAGCTTTACTTTATTTTGTTGATCTACACAAGACAGAATTCTAGAGGTCTGTATAGCAATGTCCTTCAGTTGGACCTGGCACCACCTCCTGCCTTCTGTGTGGGGCAGGCACTTCTGTGTCTGATGTTCTACCTCTTTCTGTGGTTTGACTATCAAAACCACTTCAGAAGCCCCCTCTCTTTACAGAGTGGAGTCACACATTGTGTCATCACAGAAGGAGGAACTGTGTCCTGCATTCATTCATTTGGAGAAGGTCCATAAGTAGTGATCATCTACCAGGTTCTTAGAGGTTCTTGAAAAGAGGGCGAATAAAATCAAGAAGGTCCTTCTTCCAGCAAATGCATTTTCTACAAGCTGCTAGCCCTGCCACCAATACAGCAGGATTGTTCTTCACACCTTCCCCAGAGGAAAGCACCAGGTGCATAGGGAATGAGGTGCCATAAAGGAAGAAAGCTGATTCACACAGACACCTTACCTCATCCTGGAAGCAGGCCACCAGCAATGAGATCTGATCTCAATACTACTGCCACCAGCTATTTAGTCTGCACAGCTTTGTTGCTCATGTTCCTTTCCTTCTTTCAGTTCTACCAAAATGAGGATAAAAATCAGCAGTTAAGGCCCCCAGCCCTGCTAATCGTGAGATAGAAGCAATGGTGGCTGTGCAAGTGGTCTGACACAAACACAGAAGGCTGGAAATTCCTAGCCACCCAGTTCCAGGTACTGAACAGCTACTGCATCTATAATCTCACATGATGCCTGGTAATAAGCAAGGGTTCCAACCACCTTGTGTCCTGGCTAAGAGTCCTGCAACCTGGACACAGACAGGGAAGAATCCAAACACAGCAGGCTATGAGGGTGAAGAAATGAAAAGTGGCTTCAGGTACCCAGGACATAGGGAAGGTCTTATGATGGAAGGGGGCCCAGGAGTAGATAGATGTTTAGGTCCTCTTGATGCCTTGTCTCCAGAATGTTCTTGAATAAGACTGTGGCATCATGTTTATAACTCCACATCTCTTTTTATTTTATCTTTTCTGCTCATTCCCTACAGTGAAGATTTAGTGTCTGAAGCCCAGTGATGCTTATAATGAAGGGTAAAGTTTCTTTTGGCACTTTCTAACTAGTCCAGGGAATGTCCTAAGAGATGATCAAAGCCAGTGCCTATCAGACAGGCCTCAACACAATAAGCAAACTAGAGATTCTCCTGCCTTTCACAGATTCACAACTCACTCTCCTCCTCCATACCATTTCCCCAGACTGAGCCGACTCCTCCCTGCTTCTGTGCTGCCTGTACCATAGGGCCCCAATGAAGGAAGTAAGAAGCTTCTTTTGGAACTCAGTCACTGTTATCACTTTGACATTCTTTGTCTACATTTTGGCATTCAGGCATAAGGAAGTGTGGTCCCCACCAAACAGGACCAAAGTCCCTGAATGTATGGGAGAGAAAAGGACAAGATATTTATACAGGCACATAAGGGCCTTGAGCCTAGCTGCCTCTCCTCATCCCCGCCTACTCAAACCCCTCCCCATGACACACTGGAATCTGTATTATATCTATTTTTAAGAAAGTAAAATGCTGGTTGTCTGGTTTTGTTGTTTTTACAGGTGTTAAGAAATAATAATAAAACGAAGTATTTAAAATGTCCCAATAAAGTGGGGTTTTGTTATCTAATATATTATCATGTACATATTGTAAATATGAAACTCCTATTTTGCAAGCCAAGGACACAATTTGTACTGTTGTTATATATAAATAAAGATTACTGGATATAAAAATATTTCCTTAAGTCTTCAAATAAATATAGTTCTTTGGCCACGTAGGTACAGAACAACCTTGGGAGTATATAAGAAGCAGATATTCAGAAGGAGCAACTGGGTTGTTTTGAATGAATCTGAGAAGATTCCATGGAGTCAGAGCATATTAATGTCTGTTCATCTTCACCATACACTTGCTTGCACTGTCTATTCCAGTCATACCAGTGGGTGAACACTGCCCCCTAGCCCCAGAACCTCAGAATACAGCTTGCTCTGGGGAAGCTGGGCTGCCACTGACTTGAAAACAGACACCCTAGGACCAGCCCTTCCTAAAAGAACACTCACTCCAATCACAGAAAGACAAGCATGGTGTGTACTCACTCATATATGGGTATTAGACATAGAGCAAAGGACTACCAGCCTACAATCCACACCACCAGAGAAACTAAGAAACAAGGAGGACCGTAAGAGAGAAATACATGCCCCTCCCCCAAAGAAGGAGAAAGGGACAGAACTCCTGAGCAAATTGGGAGCACTGTGGGGGGGGGGGGAGAAAGGGAAAGGAGGAAAGGGGGAAGAAGAACAAGAGGGATCAGGAAGACTGAGTTGGGAGAAATAGAGAACAAGAAATAGAGGGAGCCAGTATAGGTTTAAAGAGAAATCTGGCACTAAGAAAATGTTCAGAGATCCACAAAGATGACCCCAACTAAGAATCTAGGCAGTAGTGGGGAGGCCGCCTTTGATACCCTTCCCCTATAATGAGATTGATGACTACCTTAATTGCCATCCTAGAACCTTCATCCAGTAGTTGATGAAAGCAGAAGCAGGCATCCACAGCCTGGAATGAGCCAAACTCCTGGAATGCAGTTGTAAAGAGGGAAAAGGGATGAGCAAAGGAGTCAAGGCCGTGCTGGTGAAACCTACAGAAACAGCTGACCTTCTGATCCATAGTTAGACCGTTATCCATGGCGCCACTGGCATTGAACCAACTCAGATACCACCCCCACCCCCCGAACATGGGTCTCTGTTAGAATGCCTGGAAGGGACCTCTGACAATGGAACCAGGATGTATCCCTGGTACACAAAATGACTTTGGGAGAATGTTTCCCATGGAGGGATACTCCCTTAACTTAAAGGCAGGAGGGAGGGCCTAGACCCTATTCCAAATGACTTGACAGATTTAAATGACCCCTCAAGGAAAGCATCACCCTACATGCAGAGTGGGGGGGGATGGAGGGTGATCAGGGGGCATGGGAGGGTGGAAGAGAGGGAACTGAGAGAACTGGCATCAATATATAAAATAAGAAAAATAAATTAATGCAAGGAAGGAAGGAAAGGAGGGAGGAAGGAAGGGAGGAAGGAAGGAAGAAAGGAAGCTGACCTGACCTAGTGAGAGCACAGGGACCCAAGTCGTAAAGCTGGGAAATCAGCATTAGATTGAACCAAGCCCTCTGAATGTGCGTGCCAGTTAGGAGGCCTGGGCAGTCTATTGGATCTCTAATAGTGAAGCCAGTATTTATCCCTAGTGCACAAATGGACTTTGGGAGCCCATTCTCTATGGAGGGATACACAGAGGAGGGCCTAGGACCTCCCCAAACTGATATGGATATGATAGACTTTGATGATTCCCCATGGAAGGCTTCACTATCCTTGGGGAGTTGGTGGGGGTATGTTAGGGGCATTGGTGGGGGGCATGGGAGGGAGAGGGAATGTGGTGATTGATATGCAAAATAAGATTGTTTCTAAAACAAAACAAAACTCATAAGTTAAGTGCTAAGGTGAAATGAGAATGAGAGAAACATGGCCCTTGCCCTCACTGCTCTTGAGGTGATCCTGAAAGAGACTTATATGGCTTTCAGCTAGGCACTGATAAAGGAAGTGACTTCAATTTTGCTTCAGAAATCAAAAGTGAAAAAAGTGCAAATACTAGATGGTGAGTGTTGTAAGACCCAGCCCAGGGGAGGAATATGAAGATAGCCCTTCACTAGGGATGTGGAATAGAGAAAACAATACAGAACCAGAACTTCCAGTTCTGTAATGAGGTTAAAGGGAAGAAAACTTTGGACTCCTTCTAAACTGAGGGTGACATACTTCCTCCCATCTACTCTTATTTCCCTGTTTTTATCCTGCAATCTAATGGTGTTTGACATCCCCCCTCCCACTTTACTGGTGAGACACATTAACTGAGAACAACTCAAGAACCTATCCCAACCAAGTGCAAGCAGAAGTTTCTAGTCCTTCTTTTTTAGATAACAGGACCAGGAGGATTTTCTGGTGAGCAGGGTATCCCTGACCTTCAGTCAAGTAGGGACAAGCCAATATGCACAAAAGGAACCTGGTACTCATGAGACAGAATTTTGGAAACAAGAGCATGTTAGTATATAGATATTCTTACATAGTCATATGTGTATATATGCAGTGTATGGCAGAGTTGTAGAAAAGTTATACAGTCAAAGGAAGAAAAGGAGACAGGATTTGATCATGTGGTCCAGTCTGGCCTGAAACTCATGATTCTTCTGCAAAGAATTCCTGAGTACTTGAATTACAGGTGTATACCAAATTTTTAGGATTTTCAATCCAATCCTCAGCAACCCCTAATATTTTAGTATATTTGTATCTCCTATACATTCATCTCTCACTCCCCTCTCCATCTCCTTCAAAGTGGAAGAAGAGTACAGTGCCAGGGCCTGGATGGAAATAATTCACTGTGTTCATCAATAGCACAGCTTGTCTAAGAAGTATATCTCCATCTTGCTAACATTAAGTCATCTGCTGCTCATCTCTGGGATGCAAACCCAAAGCGAGATTTCTCTGCTCCACCATGGCTATGAAGATGTGGCTATTTCTCCCTAACAGCAATAGTGTGGCCTTGGTTAGCTTGGCTTCTGTTACTGCCTGATCACAGCCTGACTCTGCATCTCAATAACCAGAACCCACTTTCAGCTATGGTTTTAGTTTTCTGAGTGATTTTAAAATGCCCAAAACTAGTGGCAGTTCATCCATTGCCCTTAAAGGAGCTACTTGAGGACAGTTTCTCACTCAAGGCTGCCAGGTATAAGGCAGGTCTTATAAAAAGACTTCCTACTAACAAGTTTTAATCATTCATTTTCAGCACAAATGGGTGTTTACAATGAAGATTATGGAAAGTTCACCACAGAATTAGCAACCCTAAAGGATTTGCATTACTTAGTATTTAACAGTACATCACAGTGTTGACTCCACCCTCAGTGCCCCAAGACAACACAGATCCTCCTCATCTGTCTCAAAAGAATCTCAAAACATGAAAAATGCAAAATTAACAAGCAAAAACAAACAGCTAAGGTCAGAACTGAGGTGCCTCACTCAATCCCTAGCCCAGGCTCTATCTTCTTTAAGGGGAGATTCAAAGAACCACCATTCATATTCTTCTATTTCCCATGCCCGCAAAACCCAAATATTTTCTTTTTTATCATTTTATTTAATTTTATATAACAAAGTCTAATTAAATGAAAACAAACATTTATACACAATATTTGGGAATTTGGGCGTCGTTCTTTCCAAACTACTTCCTGCTGGTAAGGGGCACTGTCATGGGGGATTCGAAGAAGATTCAGATATCCTGGCTGTAGTCTGTAGGGCTGTTTTGTCCAGCTGTTTTGAATGTAGGATCAGCTTGTACTTTGTTTCAGGCGGTCTGGTGTGATCAAACCACATTAGTCTGGAAGGAATCGCATCTTTTCATTTTCTGTGGAAACAAAAATAGAAATCCTTTTCCCCAGTAACTTGTCCTTGAACTTAAATTTTGGAGTCAAAGCATTTTTTTTAATTTAATTTATTATTTTACATGTCGATCCCAGTTCCCCCTCCCTCCCTCCCTCCCTTCCTCCCTCCCTTCCTCCCTCACTCCCTCCCTCCCTCCCAACTCACTCCCAACCTCCCTCAATCCTCCCCTACCCCTCCCTCACTCCTTCCCTCCCTTTTATCCTCTCTGCCCTCTCACATGCACTCTAAACACCCTCCCATCCCCCCACCCCAATTCCATATGTAGGGGAATGCCATCCAGTTGGGGTCATGTAGATCTGACAGGTCCTGTGAAGTAGGGACTAGGGCTTCTCTCCTGTCTCTAGATTAAGGCAGTTATCCCTCCATGGGGGATATGTTTGCAAAGTCTTTTTGTGCACCAGGGATACATCCTGGCTCCACTGTCTGAGGTCCCTTAGACTGCTCAGTCCTTCTGGCTGAGACCCATATTCAGGGAGGCTTGAGTCAGTCCCATGCTGGCTTCCCAGCTATCAGTCTAGTGGCCATTAGCTCCTCCTTGTTCAGGTAAGCTGTCTGTATGTGTTTCTGCCACATGGTCTTGTCCTCTCCATCTGCTTCTGGGTTCTAGTTCGACTCAGTGTTTATGTATGGGTGTTTGATCCTGTTTTCAACAGGCATTAGTTGAGGGCTCCATGGAGAAGTTAGTTGTTGATCTCACTCTCTCCGGGAAGGGCATTTAGGCTAAGATTGTTAGTTGGGAGCAGTCTTGTAGTTCTCTAGACCTTTCTTTGTGTTCAATTTTATCTTCAAACAAATATTGGCTCCCTCTTTTATGTTCTCTCTCTCTGTCTCTGCCTCTCTCTTTCCTATCTTCTATTCCTAACCAGGCTCAATTTTCCTGGTCGTACACGTTTTCCTTTCCTCCCCCTCATTTTCTCCTACTTCTCTCTCCATTTGCTTCCCCCCCCCCACTTCACCTGAGCTCTGGGGGACTTGTCCCTTCCCAGTTCTGTGAGGGGCTTTATATGAATCTCTTAGAATACACCTTGTATCCTAGTTCCTCTGGTGATGTGAATTATAGGCTGGTGATCATTTGATCTAGGTCTAAAATCCATATATGAGTGAGTACATACTGTGTTCCTCTTTTTGTGACTGAGTTACCTCATTCAGGATGGTTTCTTCAACTGCCATCCACTTGCCTGCGAATTTCAAGATACCATTATTTTTTTCTGCAGAGTAGTGTTCCATTATGTAGATGTGCCACATCTTCATTAACCATTCT